GTCAGGGACCCGGATGACTTGATCGGCGACATCTTACACCAGAGCTGTCTCTCTAAGAAGGAGCTGTACGCGGCCATCACGGAGCTGCAGATCGGAGGAGTCGAGACGGTAAGCGGCCCGTTTCTCCCCCCCCTCCCACTCCGAAGGCGCTTCAAGAAACAGCTTGACATTTTTGCAAAACACCCTGAATCACTCTCTCACCGAGAGCTGAGATCCCGTTTATTTACAACTAATGCCCCAAAACGGACCGCGCGGCTGCAGGAACGGTGCCACATTAGTCATGAATGAGGATAAAGTTTTTACCTTTCGCCTATTTCCCTTCAAGGGAAAAAAAAAAAGAAACCTTGAAAACGCTCAGCCGCTCAAACAAACAGGTGCTTGCGGTTACAGCGCTCCTGAAGCGGAACATGAATGTGATGTGGGATGTAACTGAGGAGCCCTTTAGGGAGCCCACACATTCCTCAGCTCCCCTCAGCAACCCCGCCGAGGAATGCACTTTGACGAGCCGCCTCAGTAAGTGACATCTCCCCGCTCTCTCCCTCTGTTTGCGTTTCTCAGACCGCCAACAGCATGCTGTGGGCTATTTTCAACCTGTCACGTAACCCCGGCGCCCAGAGGAAGCTGCTGGAGGAGATCAGAGAGGTGGTCTCCCCCGACCAGGACCCCTGTGGAGAGCACATCAAGAGCATGCCGTACCTCAAGGCCTGCCTCAAGGAGTCCATGAGGTACAGTAGGAGACGGGAGCCGCTAACGAAATGGCACATTGCGTGTAGGTTCCTAACTGCGATCGCTTGGCGACGTCTTCAATACAACATTCGACGTTGTAAAAACGGCAAAGGCGTTTAAAAACGAGAATTCTCAATAACGTGGGATAGACGGGCCGCGTCACACGGAATGTATGTTTAACCCCCTTTAAAGGGCTTAGATGTGTGTGTCAAGCTTCACTGAGGCCGTATACCCATGTGCTTTTCTATTTTTTCTTACAGGTTATCGCCATCAGTCCCTTTCACCAGCAGGACTCTGGACAAAGACACTGTGTTGGGAGATTATGCCATTCCCAAAGGGGTAAGTGGCTTTGTGCAAGTTTGTGCAACTCTGCAAACCGTCCGTCCGGATCAGACTCACAGTAACGTGTCATCGGTCGGAGTCTTTACTCTTGTAATGTGCCGCGCTGTCTATATCACTACTCCTAATAACTCCGCAACCGTGATTTCCCTTCATTTACAGACGGTGTTGATGATAAACAGCCACGCGCTGGGCTCCAACGAGGAGTACTTTGAAGACGGGAAGCAGTTCAAACCCGAGCGCTGGCTGCGGGAGAACAACACCATCAACCCCTTCGCCCACGTTCCCTTCGGCATCGGGAAGAGGATGTGCATCGGCCGCCGGCTGGCGGAGCTGCAGCTGCAGCTGGCCATGTGCTGGGTAAGATCGGGGCCCGGTTCACTCTGAAGCTCCCATCGACCCCCCAACCGTCTCTCGAACCCGACGCTTGACTCCGCTCCGTGTTCCTTTACAGCTGGTGAGAGACTACGAGGTGGTGGCGACCGACAACGAGCCGCTGGACGTGATCCACTCTGGGCTTTTGGTCCCCAGCAGAGAACTTCCCGTCGCCTTCATTAAGAGATGAGGTAAACGAAACAAGAAAAAAAACAACATATGACTTTTATGATGTAAATATGGAGCGAAAGCCTGTTGGTTGCAAGCTAACTGTGACTCTTTACCTATATGAGTGGAATAAATGCTCTTACTTTAAATGTTTCTTTAATCTAGCTTTCACGCTGATTAATTATTCCTTCTTTCTCTCAGCTCCCGGGCTTCATATTCACAGAAGGAGGAGACCTCTGTTGCCGAGGCCCTGATGGTCCAGTGACTCCCTGTATTGCTGCTCTGTAAATAGAAAAAGACACATTATACATGTAATCATGCCATAAATACCTCAAACTTATTTAAACCAAAATACCAGTTGTCATGTACAAATTGAATGTTGTACAAAGGCAGCTGTGTATGTAACTATTTCTTATCCTTGTTTAATATTTTTATGTATGTAATATATACAGTCATGCATATGTATATATTCATTGTGTATATAAGTGTCATTAAAGTATTTTACTTTGTTTTATGTGGCGACATATTGTATTCACTGAACATTTTATCTTGTCCAAAATTACATTAGATGGATTTATTACAGGTCAATGCTAACTAATCTGTACATTGTACATAAATATATGATCAACAACATAATATAATCAATCTGAATCATTTCTAGATCTAGACCAAGGATGGTAATGTGTTGTACTTTTTACTTACACGACTTTAGTTTCTAAAGTAGCCTATATCTAGACCCGGGTGTCAAACATTCGGCCCGGGGGAACCGGCTCGACTGCATGGCCTGGCAAATATGTGAAAACTGTCAAATCTTTCAATGAAAGGCACTGTCAACTTAGTGGCGATTCCCATGGTGAATACGCGTTTTATAAATAAAACTATGGTGTTGGTTTTATGCAATGGTTTCACCGGTCCGGCCCGTATGGGATCTTATTGGGCTGAACAACACAAATCTGAACAGTCAGCTTTTGTATACTTTTCCTTTGCTCTCGGGCGATTATTTCTTTTTCTTTTTTATATGTAACACACTAAATGTGAACTAAGTCGGACAACAAGCAGTGAACAAGCAGGCGGACCAAAATTGGTGGGTTTGTTTTGTTGGGAAAAGATTCAGAAGCCTAGACGAAGAAGATTTGCTCGATAATCTGCTCGTAGTTGTGTATTTCCATTCAACGCTACTTGATACTTTTTAACAATTCAGGTCCAGATATAATTTTTTCACCATTTACCAACTGACAGGCGTGTGTAATATCTAAATTTGATTTGGAAATTGATATTGTGGCCCTGGTACTTTTCCCTTCAGTAAATGATCTCAATACTTCAGCTCCGCTCGGTCTATAACAAGATATTCTTGTTTGGGAACGTTGTAAAGAAATGAGTAACACCATTTATCAGCTTGGCTTATTTGTTGTCCTGACATATCGTCCCTGGAGGTTTCACATGAATCGCATGACCGCTGTGGAAGTAAAGTAAAAAGTAAGGTTAGTATGGGCCATTATTTAATGGGTCAGGTTCAAAAACGTAAAAACCTCCTTTTAATACTAAAGGTATGTGACAACATCATAAACCGATCATTTGACACGTAATAGTCAAACACCTCGCAAAGGTCTCGTTTGTATCTAAGAACGATGAGGGCGGAAATATCTTCAGTCCAAACACCAGGGGAACATAATGCGGGAGTCACCAATAGTTAGGCCCTAGTGAGAATTGAACTCACGACCCCTGGTTTACTAGACCAGTGCTCTAACCACTGAGCTATAGGGCCGCACATGAAAATCACGTGTGAATGGTGTATATGATGTAATGTTTGCGATCGCCTGCCACGACGCGTCACATAGAGGGTGTTGATCTTCAAAAGTCCTTTGGTTGAAATTCTAATTTAGGTAAATTAGAGAGTACATTCATTGGAAAATCGTTTGCGTCATTGCCGTTTCATTGACGTTGAATTTAGAAATGAGTTTTTACAAATTTAGACCTTAAACTGTGACCGTGTTTAACTTCCTGTGTATTAGGTCCAGCCATATAAATATATATATATACACCCTTCAATACAAAGTTAGTGACGTCATTGCCCAGACTCGTTACCCGAAGTCCAGTTGGGCAGGCTGCGTGTACACCGAGTACTTTTGTTTACTTGTTTAAACAATCGCTTTAATTCTCCTCCATTGTGACATCTTGTATCAATGGTTCAACACGCGTAAAGAAGCCGTGGTGAATTTGCGGTCGTAGCAACCTGTCAATCACAAGGTAGCCACGCCCCAAAGCCCACCTTGCTTGATTGTGTATTTAACGTTAATTTACCCTAAATGGAACCGTCATTTCCACCGTGGGCTGTACGGAAGAAGACTTGAAACCAGCGACTGAGACCATGAACTCATCTTCACAGTGTTTATAGAAACAATAAATGAAGTGACGTAGGGTCGTTTTCAATCAGAATCTCTGCCGCCCTCTGCTGCCCGGTAGAGAGGAGGTTTTTAGGCACTTCCACATTGGCTTCACATTTCAGGCCTTAAAGACGCACTAAATCAGATACAAGGCCGTCTTTTGAAATTGCATAAAATCATTGAATGACTTTAATGAAATATTATTTTATAAAAATGTAAAAAGGTACTGAAAAAGATACTAAGAGCCGCCAGAAATGTATACAAAGTATATGCATTATTTTAAATGTGGAGAATCATAGCTCGTGCGGGAATGGAATTTACAATATTTCCATCTAGTGGCCAAAAGCTGCATTAACCGACATGTAATGTTTACCGTGGATTTGTGGTAAGTGAGGCAAAGAGGATATACTGTATGTGATTGCCCATATATGTTATTTGATCTGTATACACTTCATATTTGGCATGTTTACACTGTAAACTCTACAGATAACCCTATTTCACAAAAAGCAAGTGTGTGTGTGGTGTGTGTGTGTGTGTGTGTGTGTGTGTGTGTGTGTGTGTGTGTGTGTGTGTGTGTGTGTGTGTGTGTGTGTGTGTATATTGTTCTTATTCAGATAAAGAGGAAGAACACCTGCAGCTATTTAATGTCCACTGTAGTCGTGGAAATTATTTCTCTGCACCTTTACTTTCTGGATAATAATCTTTTTTTAATTTTTTTTAACATATTTTACATACTCAAAGTCTTGATCAGGTGGAGTTAGGGTCAATACAAATAATATTTATTGACCCAAACGGCGGAGCAGAGAGTCAAAGGGATTTATCCACAAAGCTAAAACACAGTGAGTTTATAAGATAAAGCATTTAACTCATTGGAGGTTATGTGAACCCGACTCTTTCCATATGGTTATGAAACCCAGTCTGCTGCATGTACCTGTATGTCTCCCTTTACGTGTCTCTGCATGAGGAAACGGGGTCCGTTTGAAGTGCACAAACACGCGCGAACACACGCACACACGCAGGTCCGCGTCTCCTGTCGCTCGTCATCTGGTGACAGGAAGCTTCTGCCTCTGTTCTATATTATAGCGAAGCAGCTTCTACGTGCTTTGAATGTGAAATCTGTCGGGCTTTTTTTTTTCTTTCTTCCCCTCCCTTCATTATTATTTATCTCGTGCGTGCAGCTTTCGTCAATTTGCGAGTTTGAAAAAGTTATTATAAAAGATACACTCGTCCAAAGAAGATAGAGATATTTCGAGGTGGGGAGATGAGTTCTGTAGGTTTGGACTTCACGGAGGACCTGGGTCCGAACATCGGCCAGGAGGAGCTGGACTTCTCCGACCTGTTTCTGTATAATCCTCCTGGGGAGGACTTTCCTGGCGGCTGCGATAAAGGTGTGCATGCATTGCTTATTCTGCTTTAGACTTTAGACTTTCCAATGACGTGATGTGTTTTTTTAATGGTAATTTTAAACATTCTCTCCGTTTGTGAGTTTTTTTCATTTATTTTTAGTAGTAGTATGTAAAGTGGCATCGGGATGTCTATGAGCACTGTCAGTTACTGATGTTATATTTGAATCCTCCTCATTGAGAGGGGGGGGGGGGTCCACTTGACTCTTCACACACAGAAACAAAGGTGTGAACAGTATATTACAGATTAATGGTTTCAATTCACAAAAAATTCTTTTTTTCTTTTTATTTCAATTGAAGTATGAAGGCGTTCTATTGAGGTTGTTGAACATATTAGACCCAAATTATTTGTACATGTCTTTATCTATTGTCCCAGGGTGGTATATTAGTAGTCCCTTGACATGTGTGCACAAACGAATTCTGATTTTTCTGCACAGATGGCTCAGGTGTTCTCCTCCAGAGCAACAAACACCCTCCTCTGCTGGTGGTCGATCATCCCGCTGCCTACATCTCCAGCTCCGACCGGGACGACTCCAGTCAGGACACCTCCTCCTACAGCCCTACAACAGCCAACCTCTCGGGGGTCGCGTGTGACGCCGTTGTGATGGCTTCAAGACCCGGGACCATCCCCGCACCCAGCCCCAGGATAGAGATCACTCCGTCAGGGGACTCTCTCAGCTCTCAAACCCCGGAGCTGAGCCCTGGCACCAAAGCTCTGGCGGCCTACAGGGAGTGTGTGAGCCCGGCCAGCAGTAACTCCTCCACGGGCTGGCCCGCAGAGGGATGCTCTCCTTTGGTTTCGCCGTGCATCTCCCCATCTAATGGAGGCGGCGCCGGGATGGGGTTGTCGAGCTTGGACCTCAGCCTGGGCGTCCATACTTCTTCTGCCCACTCCTCCCCGGGAGCCTCACCTCGCAACAGCGTCACCGACGACACCTATCTCTTGCCCAGGCACCAATGCGCCGCCTCGTCGCTCCCCCACCAACGCTCCCGCTCGGCCTCACCGCACGGGAAGCGCTCCTACGACCCGTCCCACCCATGTGCGGGAGCCACTCCCGTCAAGCAGCGCTCCCGAAGCCCCAGCCCCAGCCCCATCCCCTCGCTCCAAGAGCAGCAGGGGTCCTACTACCTTCAACAGTACCAGGCAGAGTTCCAGCCCCAACCCCCGAGCTCCCCCACGGGCCTGGAGGAGATGCTGAGGAGCCTCAGCTCCAGCCCATCCAGAGCTCTGCCTTATGCCCTGGGGCGAGATGCTCACGGGCCGGCCCAGAGACAGGACTGTGCGTATGGGGGGGAGTATGACCGGGCCATCGAGCAGGAGAGGATGAGCAGGGCGGCCGAGGTCAAGTCTGAGAACTTCTATATGCTTCCAACCGTGTGGGCTCCTCCTCATCCGGTTCACCACGGAGCACTCGGGTGTGTTGGCCGAGACTTTTTTTTATATCTTTCTCCTCAAATGTAAACATTAAGAAGAACTTCACGATTAAATATGATCAATGAACTTTTTTACATTTGGGAATTCAACGTTTTTGTCTTCGGTTTCCCTCTTATTGTACTTTTCTATCCATCTTTTCCCCAGCAGACTTTCGGTGGCTCCACTGCCCTCCCCAGAGTGGCCGTTGCCATGCCAGTCTGGTCAGTACGAGCTTCTCATCCAGCAAGAGCCCAGATCCCATCACAGAGCTCACTATGAGACGGAGGGCAGCCGCGGAGCTGTGAAGACACCTAACGGAGGACATCCGGAAGTTCAGGTGCTTTTTTGTTTGTTGTTAAAGATACACAGGAGAGATTGTAAATATAGGGGGGTATTTATTGGGTTATGTGTTTATGTAAAGCCAACAGCCATGATGCAAATGACAGGAAAGGCAAATTATTTGGGAACAAACTGTTTCAAATTGCTAAAAGACACACTAATTATTACCAATCATTTGTGTTGAAATATTACAGTATTGAGTGGGTTTTAATCAATGCTTTGATCAGTTAACTGAAAAGCCTGTTACTGTTGGTTTTCCTGGCACTGCTGCACAAACAGGCTATGCAAATCACTATTCTTGCTAAGCCAGTTAGGTAATGATCTGTAAAATCCTCCCTGCAGGGGAAAGAGATGTATTGCACAGTGTAAATTTGCTCTATGCACCCATTGATGTTAATGGTATTATAGTTTATTTAATTCAACGTAAAGCATGCAATGAATCGACTTTGTTTCCCCGTAGCTCCGTGGGTACCAAGGCACAGCTCCACTGGGGCTGCAGGTCTTCATAGGGACAGCCGACGAGAGAATCCTGAAACCTCACGCCTTCTACCAGGTCCACCGCATCACTGGGAAGACCGTCACCACGCCCAGCATGGAGCGGTGGATGAACGGCACCAAAGTGTTGGAGATCCCTCTGGAGCCAAAGAACCACATGAAAGTGATGTGAGTGGGACGCTTTGGGCGTTAGTTAGTTAATAATCTGCAGTCACTTCTTTGGCGTGTTTGCATTTCCCTTTTCAGAGTTACAGATGCGGAGATACTTTGAACCCGGTCTTGTGCGAGATGTCATCCGTTTTCTTCTTATTTTCTGTTTGATAAGGTTTGAGTTTTTTGTGCTCATTGCGCGTGCCGGCTGCCTCTGCAAGCTACAAGGTCCTTTGTGTTTTTTGAGACCAACTTTGGCAGCAACACAAAATGCAATACTTTTTCCACGAAAATCCACCGCACACTGGCTGTTCACAACAGCAAAACCAACAACCCTGCTTAGAACTTGAATTGTGATATATCACTGAAGAAGTAATTTATTCTTACAATGTCACAGACCATTACTTTGAAGGAACGAAATGAGGTCACAACTGACACAGATCATCCTTGCACGGCCACTTGCACTGTCTTTTCTTACACTTCGTAGGATTGACTGTGTGGGAATCCTGAAGTTGAGGAATGCCGACATCGAACTGAGGAGCGGTGAGACGGACGTTGGAAGAAAAAACACACGTGTGCGTTTGGTGTTTCGCGTCCACATCCCTCAACCTGGGGGCCAACTGGTGTCCCTCCAAGCTGCCTCTCATCCTATCGAATGCTGTAAGCTTCCTATTGCAAATTAACAAAAATGAATCATAGTCAATAAAAAACAAACCGTTGATACGTTCAGTACGCCGTGCTTGTTTTGGTCCCACGTGGGGTTCCAGTGTTTCATACAGATGTTTCTCCTCGTCTCCTCAGCCCAGCGCTCAGCTCAGGAGTTCCCTGCAGTCGAGAGGCAGGACCTGGACCAATGCTCAGTGCTTGGTGGTCAACAAATGGTCCTTACAGGACAGAACTTCACATCTGACTCCAAAGTGATATTTTCCGAGAAGACACAAGGTGAGAACTTTAACTGTCTGTTCATGTGAACAGAAATAGGGAATTTTATGTCTATCCGTATCTCAAATCACAGTTTCGTAAGGGTACTAAAGATGAGACACACCATTAATTTGAAAAGGAACTTGAAAGATATGTGGAAGAGAATCTTCTCAAAAGAAGCTTAGTAAAAAGCAAACAAGTTCTCAAAATGTTGAATTATCCCTTTAATGCATAGTGCTCACTCATAAAATAAACATACTTTTTTTTGCAACACCAGTCTGTGTCCTCACAACATGCTGCTTGAGCACACTCCACCTACTCATATAATATTTGTTTTTTCAGAGTATTTGCATTTTTCACGGGCAACATCAACTTTTAATGACGCACATTTTCCTTCAGCCCACACTTTTAACTCCGACAAAATGAGAATGAGCCATAACTTTCAACTGTTAGCATTTGGTGGCACCTTATATTGATTTCTACATGGAAATGTCTCACCTTATTATTGCTCCTACTGCCCACACAAGATTTAACATACACAGAGCAGGATGGGTAAATGACTGCATGTAAAGCCTCTCTGTAGCTGTGCGTGGGGTTTTATGCAACAGGATGTGGTTAGAAAGACTGATAAAGATTCAGACCCGGAGACGAGACTTTTTCTACATTGTGCGGGTAGAAAATAGTGACTGCAGGTTCAAACCTATGTGGTGATGAAATTATAATCCAGACTGAGAAACCTGCTATCCATTATCCATCTATAAATATCCTGATGTGATCTGATTTGTTCAATTCATGCATTACTACTATTGCAGTAACTCTTTGTTAGTTTGACTTCATGCTTATTTGCTTTCATTTGGGGCCGGCCAGTTAGCTTAGCTCAGCACAGACTGGAAACCGAGGGAAACAGACAACTTTCCAAGCTGCATATAATTTCCATACAAGCTAAAACAAACCCCAATTAAAACCGTTGTCTTAGCATTGTCTTCCCTTCCCCGTTTAAGCCTGGCTAAGCTAAGTAGAAGTAGTATCTGCAGCTGTTTGTTGTAGTTTTGTTGTCAATCCAGCGTGTTGCTAAAGATGTCAAACTACGTTGCTTTAAAGTGTTGACACTTTAAATTGCCTCTGCTTACAGATGGGAAGCAGATCTGGGAGGTGGAGGCCACTGTTGACAGAGACAAAACACAAGCCGTGAGTTAACTTACGGTTCCCTGTAATGACACGTGGATTGAGGCTCTATGACGCTTTTACGTAACCCCTTATGTGCTTTTTATAGAAATGTATTCAATCATTACACCCACATTGTCTGTAACAAGCTCACAGAAAGCTAAAGGCAAAACCTTTGGCCCCACACAACATGCAGCTTTGTGTGTCATTTTCAAACAGTCTTGTTTCTGGTGCGGATTTTGATTCGTGAGATTTGGGTTAGCCTACGCCCCTCTGTTTCAAAATGACTCTTTGTCTGAAGTAAATCTTTTTTTTCTGTCGCAATCCCCTTCTAGAACATGCTCTTCGTGGAGGTCCCTCCGTATAGAAACCGCAGCATTTGCCACCCAGCTAAAGTCAACTTCTACGTCGTCAACGGGAAGAAGAAACGCAGTCAGCCTCAGCACTTCATCTACACTCCTATGATAGGTATAAAGCTGGCTCGGGGGGAACAAATGTACCTTGAATGTTTGAGAATAGGCTGATGACTAGAGGGTCATCAGTGCTCATCATACAAAAGCTAGTGGGTTAGCATTTATGTGAAGTACCACGGTGCTACCAGGGTGGCGCTATTCTCTTATTGTTGCCTCTGTCCTTGTACCATTGTCAGTGAGATAATGATTGACCTAGACTGATTTCTCTTATTTTTGTATTTTAATTCTAGCCATAAAAGCAGAACCGCTGGACGATTACCAGTTGAATTCATACATCTACTCAGACAATCAGTCCCTGTCTGGCCTGTCAATGAAGTCGCTTTGCCATCACCTGGAGCAGGAGAGCAACCTTCATTCTTTGAATGTTTGTCCAACAATGTACCATCTAGCCTCCGTAGACCCCAGATCCCATGTCTTGATCCCTGATCCACTGGACGACCAGCCGGTTTATTACCAGTCCAGCGCCAGCACTCTGATCAACAACCCTGCGCTTTACCACACCGCGAATCAACGTTACAGCAACTGGGGTACCTCCCCCCATGGTTCCCCGATGGCTTCCTACCCTACTCCAACTCCCAGCCCGTGCGTCAGCGTCAGAACCCCCGTGGGCAAACTGGGCGCAGGTCCTCAAGTCGGCGATTCGCCCAAGGCCTGCGTGGCGTCAAGGTATCAGAATTATATGGGGAAGTCACCATCCTCCAGGTACCCCCAGGGTCAAGCCCAGGTAAAGTCTGGAAGCCGAGCGGAGCCTCTGAACCAGACCGGCTCGGGTATAGGAAACTACGAGGAACGAGCTCCAGAGCGGGTCCCGGTCAAACGAGAGAATCTCCGCTGTGCTTACCTGGAGGATGGTGAGTCATTATCTGACATGCTGTTTTCTTGAACAACCCCATTTTCATATGTTTGCTGGGTTTACACGCTCTAACTTGATTACCTTCATATGTTTGCGTATCATGTTGTTATCCCCATTTGATTATAACGTCTGAGTCTGTTGGTTCTGTATTTCATAGTTTAATGTTCTGTATTTACGTAAGTTTTATATTGTCTATCAGTCATACATACTTGCCTGAGGGTTGGGTAATTGTGGTCCAGTTTGCAAATGCATACGAGCTCATTGTAACTGTACGCTTGCAAATCCTGCATTGTGGTTTGTGTTGGTGTTTCGATCCACTTTCCTGTGTCTTTCAGTCTCACTCTGACACACATAACCGAAACGTACTTGTAACGGCTTAATGCGCATGCACAGTCTCATTTATGATTAATCTAGGGCAATTTATGTAAATTACCTCCGATGTGTTTAAGCACGATGGATGGGAAAAGTAGCAACACCACCATGAAGTGAGAGAACAAGTGATGTTCTATGACGTTATTTACTGCGGGGCAAAGTTTCTGTTTAAGCCTTTGTGATGGGAGACAGAAACAGGAAGTTTAGTGTACACACAAATACATGCAGATACATCTGTGGTGTGAGAAAAAAACTGCATTGTCCTTTGTTCTGGTCTCTGATACAGACTGGGGTAACAGTGAGGGCTTATATAACTACTTAGATTACAATTTTGCATAGTTTTGTTTGGAAAGACATCATTGATTACTCCAAAAATAGTATGAGTAAAATCTGATTGATCAAATCAACATAGTGGAAAATACTTTTGGAGATGCATTGCATAATTAAACTGGATGCATTTAGAGATTTAGTTAGAGCTTTTCTGAGGGACCCCTCGTGGCTTTAACCACAAACCACAAGTCCAAGGGAGGACCTTTGATATTCACCTCTCTCATTTCCTGTCACCTCTTCACTTCACACTCTCGTAAAATCATAAAATGTCCCCCCAAAAATGTACTTTGGCGACAGCTGCTGGTTGTAATAAATACGATGTAGAGGCCATTATTATTTAAGGAACCTGCACAAATGGGTTGTGCTATCAAGTAGGTTTGGACCCAACAATAAATTATCTTTGCGAGTTATTTAATAACAATAAGCATGGCGCATTAGTCAAGAGAAAGAATATCAAACGTGAATATTTACAAAAGAAAATAGAAATGATAATTATATGCCAAAAATTGAGCAGAGGAATGTGACGTAAAATAAGCATGGTGTCTGTTTATTACAGCATAGTTGCTTACATAGTTGCTTATCGTGTTTGTAATGTTTTACAGTGAATGACATCATAAGAAGAGACATGAAGGGCCACAATGGAGAGTGATCCTGGAAGCCTGATGTCCATCACACCGAGCATAATATGTAAAATATATAATCTAGAATGTCCTGAAGTGTGTTGCAATAACAAAACGTAGGGCTAGATGTTGATTTTAGACTTTTTAGCTTTAGGAGTGGTAGTAGACAGCAACACAACCTTATATTGTGTATCTAATGGGGCTTTGTATTAATCTGTTTTGACATATTTTTGTTCATGTATTTGTACAATTTCTCTTTGTAAGCATATATAAGATGTTGTAAATCAAATATTTTCTGTTTATGCTAATCAGTATGTTTGCATTAAAACGAGGAATAGACCAAAGAGAAAATGTACATTTCTAAACTAGTGTGTAATCCCTTTATCTATGAAATCCTGTGATGACCTCGTACTTCAACCACCGTTATAAAGTAACTATAAAATATGTTCTCTAAATGTAGTCTTGCGATGACGAACACCAGGAAAGCATACAGTAAATCTAAATGAATTATTATTACTTATGTGAAAAAGTCACTAAAGCTGTCAGACAAATAATAAGAATAAAAAGTTATATTGTGGAGTTGGACGCCCTCAAGCAAAGTGCCTTAAAGTTAAAACGGATATACAGTACTTGCAAGTGTAAAAATAAGTTGATACTCGTAACCAGGTTACATTTTTTTTACCTTCTTTTTTGTAAACGTTCATGCCAATAAAGTAACATTGCTCTGAATTGAATTGTAAAATAACCATGATGCTATTCATATTATACAGTGTCCTGTTGAAGTAGTATTGTATGAAGCACTAGATGGTGACATTTTCAAAACAACCATTCACCGGGTAGGAAGTGGAGCACACGAGTGTTACGTCACTTCCGCCTAGCGGATGTTGTTTTTTCCCTTTGTGAGATTAATTAGCATTGGCTTCATTTGGTCTTTGCACTACTTCATTCACTTGGTTTTATCCCAGGTTTCAATACACAAACTCCCGTAACGACAAGTAAAGCTTGATGTTCCTCCGGCCCCGGTGAGCTTCGTCTTCCACGGACTAATGTTGCGTGTCGACATTTATTAAATGAAGGCGTAGCGTTAGCGACATTAGCCGCAGCAGGCTTAGCCGTTGTGTGTCCTAGCCGGGTCTATACCAGCTTTGTCCGCTAAGAACATATACAGTTTGTTTATTAGTATCAGTCAGCAGAGATTTGTATTGTCATCGACGTGACTATGTAGGAGCACAATACATCATTTGACTTCCATTTTGAAAATAAATAACATAATTCATTACTATGGGTAAATACGCAGTGGGACACGTGGACATGAGTATGGCATATTTTGTTTAGTTAATATATTAACCGTAATCATATTATTTTTAAATAAATACATTTTCGTTCACTTTTTTTCTTTCTTTTTTTACCCCCACTGGACGTGGTGTTTTCACAGACAGGTTCCCTGAAGAGTAACCAAACCATCAATCAGCAGCATCATGTCTGCCGAATTGGACCTGTCTCCACCTGAGGTCCCTGAGCCCACCTTTCTAGAAAGCCTACTGCGCTATGGGCTTTTCCTGGGGGCCATCTTCCAGCTCATCTGCATCCTGGCTGTCGTCTTCCCCACATCCACGTCTCATGAGCAGGTGGGTAGACACTTCAGGGAAAGGACGAGTGCAGGTTTTGTGTCAAAGTCTGTTTACAGCTCTTTGGAAAGGGCATTTCTCGGGATGTTGTGACTACAGGTGTGTGTTACCTTGAATAAGTAAGGCGAGTGTAGAGATAGGTGGTCAGAATAAGGATATCGGGGATAATGGGGAAACGTGTCTCAATAACTTCTACACAACACTAGCAGCAATAAAATATTGATTTGGATGTCTGAAACTAGGTTAGCATGACTTATTTCTCAAATGCTCAAATGTTTACAATGTTCTTTCCGGTGGCTACATCTGATATCAAAATAATACAGAAACATTTGCAGTGTGTCACAGCTGCTGGTTTGATTAATATCTTTATTTTCTATCTTTTCCACAAATGTATTAGTTCTGCAATGGCACTCTTTTGTGAAATACAGAGAAACCACATATCCTTTGGTTTAGTGCTGAATATGTCTTAATTCTTTCCACAAAGACCGTACCATGGAGGGCGACTTCCATTATCTCCATAATAACAACTGTCGGGAGGGATTATTTATAGACGAGGGCAATTAAGTCCACCATCTAATTATTCTATTTTCCGACGCTGCCATGAGATGCACTGATTACGCTCCACAGTGGGTTCCCAATTCGTCCTTTATAGCAGCCTTATGTTGTTCTGTAGAGACAGAGGGAAATATGTTAAAAGGCAGTCAGATTTGTGTGTGTATCTGTGCTCCAAGAACTGGGGGAATTTTATTCAAACTTCCATTTTAATTGAGAATTGAAGTCTGAGCAGAGTTTGAGCTGAGTTGGACCAAAATGCACTTTGCTGCTTGTTATCACTAATTACTCACCTCCTGATGCACAGTGTCCTGTATAAAACCAACTGTGTTGACTGTTTGAGACTGAACAAGCATTTATCTACTTACCCGACCATACTTATCATTTAAATAAATTGACACCATATACCATACCAACTGACAGATTTATTTTGAAAATACAGGTTGGTTAATGCTTCCTCTGTTTGCTTTACAGGAGGAGACTGAATCGACTGAAGGAAAGGCCACTGAACAGATGAAGAAACCCAAAGGACTCGCACCGCAGATCCGACAGAAACCAAAGAAAGAGAGCAAAAAGAAGCGATAGTGTGTGAGTGTGTGCGTGCGTGTGTGTGCGTGTGCGTGTTACTGGCTTGTGTGAATGCGTTTGTATGGTTAACAGTGAGTCAGTTACAAATACAATTATCACTACAGGTGTACCAAACAATGTCATGTTGCAACAATTAAAATGAGGTGCATTTATTTCAAGACTCTCGAGGATGTCCTCAAACTATGTGTCCTTCACATTCAATGTGCTAAAACACTAATTGTCATTTATCTTTTGCAGAATATTTTATACAGCTAAATATTTACAGAGTAGTAGTAAAAGTACATTTAGCATTAATACCAGTTGAAATACTCGTAGTGTTAGTTATGGTAGTAGAAGTATCAGTTGTAGTAGTACTACTAGAAGTACTAGTAATATTTTAGTGGTTGTAGTAGTATTTGAAAGAGCAATACGTATTACAACGAAACTGCTTCATTCTGAGCTTCATGGTTAAGGTACAGATAATCATTGAGGCTTTTATTTTGAAATAATGGAATTGGGTGAGGGGTTGGGAGACAGAATGTTTGTTATTCAAACTAAAAAGTTATTAATTGATAGGCCTCATCACAAACATTACAGTAAATTCACTCCATGGGGCTTTTATTTTGAAATTATTGGATTGGGTGGGGGATAGATAGAGGGAGGGAGGGTGAGGAAGTGAGGGGTGTAATTAAGAGAGAGAGAGAGAGAGGGGGGGGGGAGAAAGCGACAGACAGACAGACTGAGTGACTGATCAAGAGTGAGGAGGTCAGGGGAGAGGGGGGGGGCGAGTGTCTTCATCATGTTGATCTGTTGACAGAAAGCATAGCTGCGTCATGTGACTCCACTAATCAGGTAATAGGAGCAGATGTGAGTCACAGACAGAGATACTGCAGCGTGTGCGAGTATCCACGGCAACAGCGCACCTGGGTTCATTAACGAGCTGCTGAAAAGGACAGAGACAGGACAGCAAGTTACACAGAATCCACACCTCAAACAAGTGTCCTCCAGCACAAAACTATAACGGCTATCTAAAAAATAAGTTTGTGAGAGACCCAAGACTCTTCCGAACGCAACGATGTGGTTTTTATGTCTGTCCGGTAATAAATACGGCTCCTGTCGCAGTTTACAAAACGTGTACCTTCTGGATGTTTTGAGAAATATGTCGGCAGATTTGTATTGGAGCCTATGGGGCTTTTGGCAGAGGTTGTGTCATTCTAACACTCCTGAAGCCAAAACTAAAGAACTCTGGGATTCCATAACCACATCAATCCAATCAGCACAACCATGCCATCATTAATCTAAAGAAATTAAGCCTCAAAAGTGTATACTTTGGCTGGAAGGACAGAAGTTCCATATTTTTTAACCAGATTCCAGATTCTTTTTTTTAACTCAGCTCTCCAGGTCTCACTCTAACAAACGCAATACACACTCATGTAAAACTCAGGAACGGTCCGAAGAACTTGTGAAACATAAGTGATTATGAAAAAAGTAGAATAGATATCTACAAGCAGTTTTTTTCATAAAATAGTTGAGACTTGTGTCAACATTTGAAAGTTGGAATGGTGTCTGTAGCTGAAAGATTAGCAAAGCTGAAAAGTCTGAAAGTTTAAGAGGATTTGAAAAATCTCCATTGGAAAACCATGTTAAAATATTAATGATTATTGATCATTAATCAATAATCATTAATATGATTATGATTATTTATATAAATTCAAGCATAAGAGGTAGAAAGCTGAAAAGACATAGCACCCCTCTCATGAAAGAGCTGAATATTTTAATATTTGAACGGTTTTAAATAGGTTTTAAAGTGTGAAGGAGTTGCATTGCATTCTAACAATAAGATTTCCTCACAAAGCTGCAGTTTTGTGGCACTTGTTTTGTCTGCAGGTAAGGTGAATTTCTTTGAAAATACCTTTTTTAATATAAATTTACATGATTTACAGATACCATCGAAAATACAAAGGTATGTAACAAGGGAAGATCAAGCCAAATAAGTAGAGCATAGTTTCATTCACTAATCAGATTTAGGGAATTCTTATTGAAAATGATTGATAAAAAATCAGCCAATATAAAGACGTATTTATTGGGTAATTTTTAAATCTCAAATAGAGGTATGAGCTTCAAAACATGATTGACACAAGAACCTGCCGGGCTGCATAACCGTTCCCTTTAAATATCAATGCGCAGGAGCAACGTTGTGTCGCTAAGCAACCGGTTGTGCTGTCAAGCAACGAAGCTAGTTTTGCATTGGATATTTCCTGATGACTTTGAAGTACAGCGTATTTGCATCATGTTATTGTAACAATTTTCCATACGAAAATAACAAAAGCGTTCATGGGGGGGGGGGCTCAACGTGGGGGACGTTGTCGTGCCTCGTGAATTTAACACGTTACGCAACACGACGTGAATCTGCATCACTCCGACGTTGCTGCGTACAAAGCGTAAAACCCAGACTCATCATATTTGCGCCCTCGCGTTTCGTCGATGATGCACTATTCCATGCCCCCCTCTCGACTCCCCCCCACACTTCGAGGCATGTCATCCCCACGCCGCTCCTGCTTCCTCACATGAATGTACCGCGCCGTCGTCTCTTCCCAGCTGAACGCGCTGCTCCATCGCACTGACCCGAGGGGGAAAGGGGGTGTGTGGGGGGGGGTTCTGTCCCGGCACCGGCGCACTGACCCGACGGAGGGGCGGTGGGGGTGTCTGTACCGGCTCCGGTGCAGCGCCGCCCGGCAGCTGTGCCCTCTGCTCCCGAAGGCAGCCCCCGTCATGACCTCCCCTTTCCGGCCTTTCCGCCGATATTCGCTAAATGGGATTGGTGGCTGTCTGCAGGGTTTCCGCAGCAACTGGCCATCCGCTTCCATCGTTTCTCAAATGAGGGCAGCCGTCGGGATTTAACACAGTTCCACGCTGCGCGTCTTTCATTTCGTCTTCTTTTTTTTTTTTTTTTTTTAAGGGTTGGGGAGGGGACTGAATCTTCACACGCGTCAAAGGTGAGTTAATTACAGCTTGTGTCGTTTTAATGCGAGTCTCCCCCATCCAAAAAAAGACCTGTTATGCTGGAATTGTGTGCAGGGTTTATTTTTTTTGTCCGCTTATGTTCCCACGCTGATGTTTTCCACTCGGCGCGCGACTCGTATTTCATTGTTTCACCGGACGCGCATTCGGGGCCACTCGTGTGTGTCGGCGCTCCGTTGTGTTGACGGAACCCCCCCCCCCCCCCCCCAACCCTTTAGACAAAACCCGCACCGTGTGTTTAAATGTCATAATACCGACTCGCTGAATCGACTGCGTGCAGAAAAAAACAAGTCAACAAATCCATCGAAATTCAAAATGGAGCTGTAACAGCACCTGTTTTGATTCATCACCACCCCCCCGTCGCCGTCTGTCCCTCTTCCCATTCACAAAATCCTGTTTACGCGTCTAACGTGGATCAGTTTGGAAAACACGGATTGGCGTTTTGTCCTCTCTTTTTATTATTATTATTATTATTATTATTATTGTTTAATTCCCTCCCGTAGCAAAGACGCTGTTATTTTGACAGCTGCTCCCGTATGAAGCCACTACCCCACCCCTCGTTTCTCCCAAGGCGGCTTTGCCGACAACTGGTGTTTAATCCCGTGGAAATAGAATTTTAATTATGTGGCTAATCTAATGTAGTCTTTTTTTTTGACGGGGGGGTGGTGGACGAGTTCCAGTTTATTTCCCATTAGGCAATGAATTCAGGTTAAGAATTAAACAAAGCAGGCGAATCATTGGAGAGCCCAACGTGCGTTTTTTTTTTGTTTGCCACTGAACACGTGAGGAGATGCTATGAAGCGCTAGCTTAGCTAATAAACGTGAGGCTATGGCCTGGGGGGGGAAACCCAACCTGATGTGGTTGTTGACTTTCTCTTTTCTAAACTAACAGCGCTACAGTGTCTACAAAAAAGGTCCCCAAAGCTCTTTTGTCTGGTCCACATTTCAGTACAAACGCCTCTGATGTCCTGTCACAAAGGACAAAGGAAACTATCAGATGTTCTCGTATGAAGAGCTGAATTTTAATTCTACCAGACTTATTACCCGCTTACATTACGCAGCTTTAGTTGTGTTGGCCTGTTCGTTTGAACATTCTCCCCAAAGAGCGGCTGCTTTCCTTTTGACATTACAGGAAGTCCTGAAGAGAAGTCGTTGTATCTGCTAAAAGTTCAGCTCCCCTACGCTGAAACGGCCTTTGTGTCCCGCTTCCCACCCTTTGCCCTTCAGAGTCACGCTGTAGCAGCTGTTCATCACAGCCTGGATCGCTTGCAGAGCCTCTAGCTGAAAGGGGATGAAACGATGTAAATGTTCCTCCTTTTCAGTTTGTCCCGCGGGGGGGGGGCGGAGACAACATGGGACAGCTAGACGCCAGCTCGGGCTTTGCAAAAGTCAGCCGGGTTATCAAAACATTCTGGGGAGAAGATAAAGGAGAATATCTGATCGGGGCATCCAGGGTACTGACCCGGGACGAGGCCTGATAGTTATGTGACTTTATTGGCTTTTTAAGCAACCCCCCCTCTCACTGGGGCTATATATAGAGAATCTGTGTATTGTGTATGTGGATTGAGCGGAGTCTGTGTTATCGGCCGACATATAGTCGCATAGGACGTTGAAAAATATGCACATTTCCGCTTGTTTTGATCTTGAGGAGCCATCATCATCATCACCCCCCCCACCTCCCTAGCTGCTCCTCCCCCAGGGCAAACTGTAATTTCCCCCCATTCGGCTGAAACGTTGGCTCGAGCCGCTTCCCTCTCTCTGCAGCACGGTGGCAACTGTTACCGTCTGTTGTGACTCAGTGAGGTTCGTCGCGGCCAAATGTGCTCGTGTTTCTGACCAGGAATATGCAGCTTGTGGGCTCCGCTTCAGATGGAGGTTCACCAACGCTGATTAGAGGGGAGGAGGGTGGTGGGGGTGGTGGGGTGGGTTTGAATTATTTGTGCCGTTGGAAGCAAGCAATCCTCCAAGCTGTCCTCTGGCACAAATGACTGAATTTGTGGTATCGGCATCATGAAGGATTATGGGTGATTCCATTTGTATCATACGATGACACTAGCAACCAGCAATATAGCCTTTTCTAAAGAACGTACAATGTGCAAATAATTCAACGGATGATTTGAAGGCCGTGGTTCATTCTATTGCCCGGCTAATATTTGATAGTTGGCAGAGCAGTAGACACCGCAGAGCTGATGGTGATGGCGGTTTTGCAATATTCTGTCTTAAACCAAAGTATTGGACGGCTTTGAAATGTTTATCTGATGAGGGCGGAAAAAAAAATGTCAGGGGATTACCAGGTTTATTATTACAATTCCACCAGAGGGGAACTTGTAGTCCTGTACCAAATGTTCCACCATTAACTTGTCGAGATATTACTCGGTAGGATTCATCGTCTGCGGGTCACGAGTCGTGGCGATCCATCAGATGTTCGCGGGTCTTGGGAGGAATCCCATACGATCTCTTGGCAACCAGAAGGTACAGGAGGAACAACAAGAGGAACTAAAAGCTCTTTCGATGTGCGACAGGCTGGTGAAATGCCGCCTTTTGAACCGTGATTGACTGATTCTGCTCCTTCAAGCAAGCCCGCCATGCTTCCGTTTTGTCCTGTTCCTCACTCTCTCGTTGGCGATGCTCCCTGAGCAGGTACATGTTCAAGGCCGCAAAGTCCACGACTTGTTTACTCCTCGCGCACTTCACTAGGTCCTCGCCCTCCTTCAGGCCTGTGGGCTCATCTCTCTGTGTGCGACTCAGTGTTGCACTAGTGGGATGCGTTAACCCCCCCCCCCCCCCACTCCCCTCCCACCCAGACACCTGCAGCTTGTGCGTGCTCACACGTCTGCCCAGCGAGTTCCTCCCGTGCCTTTGAGAGACCCCGTACCCGGGGAGTTATGTCACCCCCCAGCCCCCCCCCCCCCCAAACTCAGCTGTCCATGCAGCATGCAACACCACGTACGTGTTCCCTTTTGACATCCACTGCCAGTTCCTCTTTTCTCTCGTCCCGTTAATAACCCCCTCTCTGTCCTCTCCATCAGTGTTGGGGAGGAGGCGGAGGAGGGAGAAGGGGGGGGGGGGTGGATGTGAGATGCAACTGCGGTTGAGTGTCAGTGCACGATAGAGCCTCGTTTCCCAGAGGAACCGAGGTGCCGCTGCTCAGGCACGCACAACCCCCCTCCCACACCCACCCTCCACATAGACACAGACACACACACACGCAGACTCTCTGTGGACCCCAGAGGGCCTCTATATTCACGGAGGAACGAGGCTGTTTCATGTGTGCATGACTGTCTCTGTTTCAGCCGGCCTGAAATAGCCGGTCTCTCAGTGAATCACTCTGCGGCGCCTCGGGGGGGCGGATGTGGCGTTCGAACGCGGCACTACAACCTTCTGTGGGTGCACTCCAGTGTCTGGGCATGTGTTTGTCTGGTTGCTTTTCATCAGCCCACAATATGTATGTGTGTCTGTGTGTGTTTAAGAAGAAGCAGTGTTGTAATTACCTGCAGGAGGTGAATCGGTTTTTCTCCGTCAACTCACCAGTTTTGTTTTTTAGCTTTGGGGTCCCCCACTGCTCCCTTTTGTATGTTTTCCCTCGGTAGATGCTTATTGATTCAGAACAGATTGAATCAACCGATAGAACGGACCTTGAATGTGTGTGTGTTGGCTGTTTGAAGGTGTCCTCTTCTCTGAGAATTCGCTTCTAAACGTCTCTAACTGAACCTGGAACAGCTCCAAGGATCCGTCTGTGGTGAGCGGAGGAGAATGCGACTCTCACTGCAGCGATGTGGGGGGGAGAAAATGTTTCTCTCTTTTCACTCAACGGCTTGCACCGTATGTCGGGACAGTCTTTATGCGTTTATGTAACTGAACTGCTTATTTTCTCAAATGCAGTTTGTCGGTAGTTTGACGTAATGTTTCTTAATGGAAAAACGATGCGCGTCCTGATTAGAATACAAAGGTTAGCCGACATCAACGTGCTCTCCTCAGTCGTCCTGCTGCTGCAAGGACAAAACAATACAGAACCACGTTTAATGTGAAGAAATGAATTGGGTATATTAACGGCATCCTCGTCAAGGTTGTGATATAAATATTTTGAAACATCTATTTGAATGAATTGCCAGGATATTGCTATAAAAAGTATTTTAATCCGACCAACAATCAAACAAGTATATTGTTCACAGTGTTTGTGATGTCATCCCTCGACGATCGATTCAATGGTTTAATGAATCGATTAAATTATTCTGAAGGTCCAAATTTCCCCGTGTGCTGTTCGGCATACGACTCAAACCTATTTCTCGTATTCTTTTGGGACTTCCTGCCTCCTTACTCATCGTCGGCTCTCTTCCCAGGTCTGCATATGGGGGCGGGCAAGAGCAAGCCCAAGGAGCCGGGCCAGCGCTCCATGAGCCTGGACGGCACCATCGGCACCGGCTCCGACAGCGGCCACTTCCACCACCTGGGACCGGCCCAGCAGACTCAAACCCCCAACCGGAGCCCCGCCGTCGGGACGGGCCGGCGCGGCCACGGCCACCAAGGGCAGCACCAGCTCGCTCCGACAAACACTCCCGTGCTGGCTCTGTTCGGAGGGGTGGACCACACGGGCACCGTCACCTCGCCACACAGAGGTAGGTGCCACTTTGGGACGAAGGGGGGGGGGGGGGTGCAAATAGGTGCAACAACGTTTATGGGACAAAGTTGACTTTCCTTACAAACGGTAATAAAAGCTCCGGTTGCAGCGACGTCCAGGAACCTCTGCTGGTTCCCTGGAAATGTTTACGTGACGAGACTCTAGGAAGTTCCTGCACGTGGGCAGATTTAGATATTTCCAGACTGCCTTTTCGGAACAGAATTTGACAGGACTATCGATCTTCTCATCCAAGTAATAGTTAATGTGAATGTTGAAGTTGTGAATGAAGGCAGATTGAAGAGCTTTGATTTATCTATGAGTAAGTCCTGACTTTCAGTTTGAGATTACAGATCTCCTGAGAAAAATGATTCACAGTGAGTCATATGTCCACAGAACCATGTTTTAAAAAAAAAAAAGTCCTTTTCCCACCATCGGCTGCCAAACGGACCTCAAACCTTCTCTTTGGCTTTGAAGCCAAACTGTCCAGATCTTAAGTGGCGTAAAGCTGTAATGTGTCTAGACCAGCCAGATGGTTAGCTTAATGTTGCTCCATCCAGGGAGACGGGGGCTGCTGCTGTGTCTGCCAGCCGCCTCCTCCTGGTCATCTAATGAGCCAATCAATAATTGGCCGCAGAGCTCCCGGCTGTAGATCGCAGCCTCGTTAAAAGGAAGAGGTAGAAAGCTCCTGGGTAGGGTGGCGTCCTTCACGGACGATCCGCACCGAGCGATCCGAATGCAGATATTTCTCATTAGGCCTTGGAAAATGGCTTCATAAAGCAGAGGTTAAATATACCAGCTTCACAGGCGATATAACCACATCTGTATTACGGAAGTGAATAGGACCACGGGAAGTACCTTTTCTATGTTTATCTGTCCCTATAATTACATTCTTCCTTAAACGCGTATTTCTGTGTGTGTGTGTACTTTCTTGCAGGAGGTGTCACTACATTTGTGGCGTTGTATGACTATGAGTCACGGACGGCGTCTGATCTGACCTTTAGGAAAGGGGACAGGCTGCAGATTGTCAACCACACGTAAGAATCCACAGCCTCTCTCTCTCTCTCTCTCTCTCTCTTCCTTTGTGTGGTGCCACGCCGTCAACCAAACATCTAAAACGAAAAAGATTTGCAGACGCACGCACGCACACGTGAGTGAGATGGCGAGCAGTTGTGTGACTAAATGAACAAAGGCGGAGCCGGTGAATACGGAGCGATCCGGACAGCCGCGTCTGATCCTCTCCATCTGTTGACTAGTTCGCATTCCCGCGCCTGCTCGCCTGCTCCGTGGAGCGCCGCTCCACTCCAATGTCCCGCCTGACAACGTGACAACGTGTTGTCCTCTTCGACGTCGGCAAGTGTTTCCGCGTGGTGCTTTTTGCGAGGTGCTTTTTGCGTGGTGCTTTTTGACTTTTTAAGGAACTGGAGCAAAACTCCCCCACAGTTTAAATCGGAACAACCTTTTCTTTCTCTCCCACGGCGCTCTTGCCATAATTTCCCGTGTTAAATCGGGTGTTATGGTGTTATAGTCTGGCACCATTTGGGCTGGCAAATAGAATTCATTAATAATTAACACAGATATTACGGTTTGAATATCTAGTTTTCCAAAGACTTAATTGGTGCACGGAGTAAAAAATTAGCGGGACTACAAAGTGAATCCCATGATATCTGGTACTGATCATTTATGGATAATACACAGGGACATATTCCTGCAATCCTCTCATCCAAACTCGACTGGAAAGTGGAACTTCTAAACTTTTAACCCCCCCCCCGAGTGGTCCTACAGCAGAGGCGCCCCCCTCTGCCATCCATCGGTGCCGCTCGCCTGGCTGTGTCTCCTCGCCGTGTTTTTGATGTGTCTGCTGTGACTGTTCTCTCTCTCTCCCTCTCTCATGCTTCATGGTTCCTCTTAGGAAAAAGTACAGCTTCAGGTCAGTAATAAAAAAGAATAAGAAAAATCTCACGCAACCTTTTGTTCACCGTCCCTCTGCTGCTGAGCGTGTAGCATAACTGCAATGAATTAGATTGTGAGTAAGTGAATACTAAATATCTACTGTAGAGGGTTGTTGGTTGGAGGGTCACATATTGTACGTCTCACTACACAGAGCAGCGGTTAAAGGTTTAAAAATGTAAACCGAGGGATTGCAAGTTGAACGGAAGGTCGCATTTGTTTGTCTGTTTCATTACTTTTTCTTCACTTTTTGCACTTAAATGTGGAATGAGATGTGGTGTTTTATTTCAAACACAATGAATGAAAAGTATTTCTGTGCTTTGTACATGACATCATGGGTTGTTTCAGACGGCCACTTTCTTACTGAGGACACACTGAAACATTCTGTGCTGTAGATATATATATATGGTATTTAATGGAACAAAAGGACCAAAAAGCCCGATTTATCTTATTCCTGTGTGAGATGGACCTTATTGTTCTCCAAAAACTATACACACATGTAAATGTTGCACTTTAATGTTCCTTCACTATGCCAAACGTAGTCAATCCGACAGACCTCGTCCTTGGGCCGCCTCTGTTTCTATTTGCTGCTGACTCTCTTGTCTCTGTCTCACTGTCTCTTTGTCCCAGAGAAGGGGACTGGTGGCTCGCCCGCTCCCTGACGACCGGAGAGAGCGGTTATATCCCCAGCAACTACGTGGCTCCGTCCGACTCCATCCAAGCTGAAGAGTAAATGATCCTTCTTTCCCTCTTGCAATTTTCCTCCTTCAACTCTGAAGCGTTTGTCTGAATCTCTGCTACACATTTACTTTTACCAGCTAAATGCAGGACGTGTTGAGGGAATGTTGGCGTCCCCTCGGCTCCTAGCCGTATTTCCAGTCAAAACATGTCTCTTTCCGCTCCAGACGCTCCGCAGTGGCTTCTGTCTGATCTTATTCTTCCCCGGCCCACTTTGGCAGGTGGTATTTTGGGAAGATAACGCGGCGCGACTCCGAGAGGCTCCTTCTGAACCTGCAGAACAGACGAGGAACCTTCTTGGTGAGGGAGAGCGAGACCACTAAAGGTGAGCGCACACGCCGCAGGCTGCCGTCGTCTTTGAGACTTAATCGCTATCCGACCTGCACGTGTAACTTGTTTCCACCAAATGAAGCAAATGTCCTCAAGCTATGAAGTTTGACATTAGTGGCTGGAAGTCAAGAGAGCCATTGCATCGACGTTACATGGGCCTCGTTTCGGAGGCATTTTGGACAAATGTACTTTCTCACAGCTAAAAACCGACTTCTCAGATGAAACATGTTTCATAAAAACTTAACACCACTTCATCTGTCCCTGCAGTCTTCCCCACGTAGCGGATGTGATCCTACTTTGAAAATGACCAGATCTTTAGGGACTCACTTTAGAAGCGACAGAACCTCGTAATTAAGTCATTTGTTAACTGCCACGCAGGCCTGTGGCGCAGTGTCTTTGCTCTCTGGGGTTTCACATCCTTCTCTGGAACTCTGCAGTCAGACGCAGCCCTCGTGTGACGTCAGTGGGCTCGTTGGGGTTGTTTTTTCCGAGGAAGAGGGCACAGCGTGGACCGGATCGGGCCTTGTGAATGAAAATAGGGCTGAATCACTTTGCCAGAACTAGGTCAGCCCATGAGGGCGCTGGATTCCCTCCTGGCTACAAGTCTGCGTTCTCCGCACTGAGCGAGGGGAGACTTGAGGGTGAGGGGTGAGGATCAGGGAGGGTAGGAGGAGCTCTGCCCGGAGGCTAACAGTGTGACGGGGTGAATCATGTCCGACTGGTCGTGATGCATCTCGTCGCTGTAAGGCTCAGCTAGTGTGGAGGCCTTGCATTGTGCACACATTTAAGTAAACTACAGGAAATGATCAAGTGTATTTGGTACAGAAACTACAGTTTTTGGACTATGGCACAGATGTTAAGATCCACTGCTGGAATTGTATTGTAAGTGTGTCCTTTCTGCACATGTCCACTCTGACCACGAGATGATTTATTTCATGTTTTAAAACATTTTTCCGAGTTTTATTATTTTTATTTCGTTTTTTTTGTACATAATAAAAATTGTACAAAATTGTTTTACTGGTTTGCAAAAAATATGGCCACAAAACAGTAACAGTAATTTCAGCCTTACTCGCTAGTGGGTTCTGATTAAGCACTGTTTCTGTTTGAGTTTGGGGGGCCCTTGAAGGGGACATCAGGGACACAGCTGCTGGGGAAACTCCAGCGAGCAGCTGGTGACACACACGGCCGGCTTTACAGTCCTAACCCGTCTCCGCGTGCCGTTTTTTCTGTCCTGTTCACAGGGGCGTACTGCCTGTCCGTGCTCGACTATGACAACACCAAAGGCCTGAATGTTAAACATTACAAAATCAGGAAACTGGACAGCGGCGGTTTCTACATCACCTCCCGCACCCAGTTCAGCAGCCTGCAGCAGCTCGTCTTTCACTACCGCAGTGAGTCCACGCACCGCCTCTCTGACCGGAGACCTTTTTTCACTGCTCACCCTCACCCTCCCTTCTCCTCCCACCCCCCCGACTCAGAGCACTCGGATGGGCTGTGCCACGCTCTGTCGGACGTGTGTCCGGTGGCCAAACCTCAGACCCAGGGACTGGCCCGGGACGCCTGGGAGATCCCCCGAGAGTCCCTCCGCCTCGACCTTAAACTGGGACAGGGCTGCTTTGGAGAGGTCTGGATGGGTAAGGACGTCTCCCACCGTGGCAGACACGCGGTTTATGCAGTGAATTTGCTCAATCGCTCGCCGTACGCGCAAGGATGACGTCAATCCCGGTAATGGATCATTTGTTTTGATGAAAGGAATATTTTGGGTGATTTATTTTGTCGTTTCTGGCAAGAGAGCTTGATATAAAAGATTCATACGTCTGTTTGTTAAATTGAGTATTTCATTGAGTAGTTATTTAGCTTGGCAAAAATACCGGAAACTGCTCGCCAGGCGCCGTCCAACGGTAACAAACTCCAGCGCCTCGTAGATCACTCGCGTTTAATAGGAGGTTATTTATTGGACTAAGAGTTTGCCCTTACAATTATTATTTTTTTTTTATGCAAAGTAAACTAATGAAAATCAACACGTTAATTAGTGAGATTTACAGTATTTCTGCTAAGCTATAAAGAGTGGCTTTGATTCTCTTATCTCTGTAGGGAATAGTATAAGTGTATTCCTTTAAGTCTACAGCTTTGTCATAGTAGTCATTCAATGATGTTCTGTTGACAGGCACGTGGAACGGGACCACGCGGGTTGCCATTAAGACCCTGAAGCCCGGCACCATGTCTCCAGAGGCCTTTCTGCAGGAAGCTCAGGTTATGAAGAAGCTCCGGCATGAGAAGCTGGTCCAGCTGTACGCTGTGGTCTCTGAAGAGCCCATCTACATTGTGACAGAGTACATGAGCCAAGGTAATACACACTGTAACAGGCGATGGATCAAACATTCTCTGGGACTCAAACTGAAATGCTTCTTGGATTTATCGGAATAAAATAAAACTTTAAAAAAAAAAAGTAAAAAAATGTTTTTTTTTAATGTAAGCATATAGCATTAGATATATAACACTGCTTATAATTCACAGCTCGTGTTTTTTAAGGTTTGAACATAAAATGAACAAGTGGTTAATTACTCTGTGCTGAACGTTTTGTACCTGTCACAGGCAGCTTACTGGACTTCCTGAAAGGAGACTCAGGAAAGATGCTTCGTCTGCCTCAGCTCGTAGACATGTCTTCTCAGGTAAAATAACCTTTTAGTTCGGCCACTTAAAAATATATTTTGTCTTTTTTTTCTTTTTTTTTTTTTTCGTGTATAAAATCCACGTCCGCTGTGCGTCGCTTCCCTCCAGATTGCAGCCGGCATGGCCTACGTGGAGCGGATGAACTACGTCCACAGAGACCTGCGCTCCGCCAACATCCTGGTGGGAGACAGCCTGGTGTGTAAAGTAGCGGACTTTGGTCTGGCGAGACTTATCGAAGACAACGAGTACACCGCAAGACAGGGTGAGTCCACTCCGCCACATGTTATTCTCCCACTTCGACAACTGAGAGAAGTACGGCTTTGTTTCAGAACATGTCTCTTTTCCACTTTTCGCTCATTTATCGCTTCGTTTTGGCCCCGTGGTTCCTCAGGCGCCAAGTTCCCGATCAAATGGACGGCACCAGAGGCGGCTCTGTACGGCCGTTTCACCATCAAGTCGGACGTGTGGTCCTTCGGGGTGCTGCTCACAGAGCTGGCGACTAAAGGCAGGGTCCCCTATCCAGGTAAGGACTCGCGGGACGCGTCGGCGCCTCAACACGTCTCCATCGAAATGGATGCTGGAAGATAAGAGCTAACAGGAAATCTTTATTTGTACCCTATAAGGATTTTTCTATTCATTTAAGAACGTTCGTCTGATCCCGTCCGTCCTTCTGACCCGTTTCTCTCGGCAGGTATGGTGAACCGCGAGGTGCTGGACCAGGTGGAGCGCGGCTACAGGATGCCCTGCCCGGCGGAGTGCCCCGGCTCTCTGCACGAGCTCATGCTCTCCTGCTGGAGGAAGGACCCAGAAGAGCGGCCTACGTTTGAGTACCTGCAGGGCTTCCTAGAGGACTACTTCACCTCCACAGAACCCCAGTATCAGCCCGGGGAGAACCTATAGAACCGCACACTGAACCGAACCGGGGGGGGGGGCACAGAAACCACCTGCACTAACCGACCTCAGAGGAGCACCTGTGAAACTCAACTGGGAGAAACTTGAGATTCTTCTGTGTAAAGGAAAGAAAAAAAAAGGAGACAGAAAACCTGCAGAAGTCCCATTGTGTGCCATAAAGAAACTGGACCTCCCTTCTGCGAGCACTCGCAAGGGTTTCCTGCTGAAGTGAGGTGCAAGCTGTGAAGGAGATCTCCTCGGGGACTCTGGCTCTGATTTGATGTGTTTTTTTTAGAGGTGCGACCGATGTGGGAGGAACCGAATCACGACCTACAGACGGAGCGACGGGGGGCTGGAAGAACCAACAGTTAGCCACAGAGGGAAGGTCAAGGGAGGATTATTTCGGGCATCAGCTGTCTCACATGAGCTCCCTCTCCCCCTCTTCTGTCTCGTCTCTTCAGCCTCGCCTGGTACATTATTCCGCCCACAGAGGAGCGATGTCACCGTGGCTCAGGTGCCAAAGGAAAGTCCGTCTCTCTTGACGTCCTTTTTATCTCCCCATTTCTGTCTGTGCTTCTCTCAAGTGCTGCTTCTTCAAAGTGTCTCCAAATAGCTCAGCGCTGGAACTCTACTTTGCATCTTTTATTCATGTTTACTTGGACAATATGCGTCCTGTGGTTTTAAGGTTTTGTTCGGCGGCAGACGAATTTCTCTCTTAATTATTTTCCGGTAGGGTCAAAAGGTTTTCATGGTGGTGCCATTGCACATGCGCTCAACAGGCAGGTTCTGGAAGACTGGAAGTTCGGTCAGTTGAGATCTAATCGAGCCCCCCACGACTCTTTTTCCAGCTGTGTTTCACGCTGAACGGCCACAGCGGCCAGCCGGATCCAATCACGACCATTAAAAATGATTTTTGGCGACGGTAGTGTTTCAAACCTTGTTTTTGTTTTTAAACTGGAGTGAGTTGCATTGACAATAATCCCCCGTAATGGGGGCGCTAGAGAGCAGTCGCAATGGTGTAAAGCCCGTTCCCTCTGACGCATAAATGGGGCAACGTTCATCAAACATGTAAGTGACCTACTAAAAAGCTGACATGGCAACCGATGTTACTGATTAATATTCAACTCAGCCCAAGCTGCGAGACACTGAGTGTAAAAGTGTGCCAAACAAATCACGTTTCTTTACTGCCATCCATGTATATAATGTTTTATCAAGCGGCTAACGCAGGGGGGGGGTCACTCTGCACTATTTCCCTAGTAAACGTCATGTTAAAACCTGTCGAGGATTCAAACCGTTTTCATTCACAGCAGCTACGTCCTTTTACAAAAAAAAAAAAAAACACTTTGATCGGGCAACTTTTAATAAGTTTTAAAACCAGTTCGCATGCTTTTGTGCCGTCCTTCTCTTGACCATCGGCTGGGTTTATATTTATGCTGTACTGTACATCAACATGTGTATGTTTACTTACGGTTCAGGTGAGGTGACGGGATCATAAACTGACTTTTTGCCATCATTAATTTGTATGTTTCTTACGCACGGCTGCCACTTCTCACCTACATTCTGTACATATGTAGCTCTTAGGGTTGGACTTCATATAAGCCACTTTCCGATGGTGGGTATTTAGGTTGGGTGTCACACTTCACAGGGGTTTAGTTTATGACTTAACTGAAGCAGAAACGGTAGATATAAAGTAATAGATTTTTGCCAACAAACGTGATGAAACAAGTTATCAAAACATGAGCCATGCAGCAATAAGAGATGGTCCGTGCCCCCTAAAACTATCAAATTATTATTCGCCTATTATGAATCGCGACGGCTAATTTAATCAATGATGTGGACAATTCTGACTTTAAAAAAGGGAGTTTGGGTTGTGATATGACACGAACAATGAGGTCAAAGATGTAAATAGTATCTTAAACAAATGACTGTGACTATCATGTAATTTGTTTTTCTATATTTTTTCTTGCACCTCCACGTTGAGGCTTTTACAGTGACGCATGTTTTAATAATAACATGCTACTGTTAATGGGGCTGAAGGAATGTTTTTTTTTTTTTCTTTTTTAAATATTTGATTCATCATTTCTGCTAAATAGAATTTGAATTTAAGCTTGACGTGTTTTTATTTATATGTGAAAACCAGTGCTTTCCTCTTTTAAGAATTGGAAATCCCCAGTTTTCCTCTGACGCACTGAACCGCCTGTAAGTCACTGAGACCATGTGACCAAGTGTGACTAACATGAGTAACACGCAAGGTCGGATTGGGTTTTCTGTGCCATATTAAAAAAGTGTCTTTTTAAAATGTTTTTCTTTTGTTTTATGAATCTATGCAGTTTCGGTCTGGCATTCCTGCAACTACGTGGTTATTTTGTGTAAAACAAGGATCATGAACAAGGTTTGAGCATTTTGTTAGGACTTCTTTTTGTCTTTTGTTTCTGATGTAACAGGATTGAAATGGGTATCGTGCCACATTATGTTGATCTGTAAATGTGCAATAAATTATATTTCAAATGTGTTTTGATAAGTGCGTGTTGTCTTTTGACCTATGAATATTGTGCTGTTTGGGCATGACTCAGTGACTCTTTAGAATTTAGAGAAGTGAGCAGCATGTGACAGAATCTTTAGGACGTTCTGGAATAAATGAAACCATGCTAGTGGGAGAAAACATGAAATTGAAATAAGCTGCATTGTATCAGATGCTTTAATTGAAGTACGGCAACAAGTTAAGTTCAAGTTTTAACAACTGAATGACGTGAAATCAGTTTGAATGCAGAGAGAAAGAAGATCATCATAGATCAATAAAACTAACCCAGAAGTGGAAGTTGGAGCCGGATAAAATGCATAAACGTCATGGTTGGAAGTGTGAGCACTGAAAGCCGCTCACTGCATGCAGGCAGAAGGTCTGGTCCAGGTTACTTCTCCCAGTGACCCCCCCTTATCCCCCCACCTTGCATCCCTCAGAGCGGCTGAAGGTTTTTTTGTCCACATGGCGGCAGTATTTCCCAGTAGTGGCGGGCGGACTGTGTGGCCCGGGGGGGGGGGGGCTGGAGGACACGATTGAACTGCAGGTCACCAGCAGGTTGTAACACACCTGTTGCGGGGGCCCTTCCACTAAACAGCAGTAACCTTCGGTGTGGGGCGGGGGGGGGATTATTCGCAGACGGCGTGATGGATGGCGGCCGGTCAGACATTTTTCATAGTCCTCTCTTAAGGCGCCGCACTGTACTTGGCTCACCTTTTCTCTCCTGTTTGCTTTGATTCCCCTGTAACCAAATGCTGCTGTTAATTGATTACAGATGAGCTCTCCTGATTGGCTCAACGTGGCCTCCAATCCAATCAGACGGTTCCTCATTAATGAGCAGCTACTTTTTTACCTTCCCTGATGTGAATAAAAGAGAGAAAAAAGGTTTATAAAGGGTTCAATTTCTAACATACAGCATATCTGTGTGTGTGTGCGTGTGTGTGTAACAGGCTTTTTGTTTTTTTACTATCTGCTGAGCTGGAGTGCGAGTCATTTATCTCAGTTATCCAGACAGTGTCAGAGCTCCATCTGTGAAAACAGTAAACACACTGACTCACACTCTCTAAGTGACTGCCATTGATACCAGACAACACAGCACTGTGGATACACACAAGGATATAGAATGTCTGCTCTCTTTCTCTCTCTCTCACACACACACACACACACACTGGGCTGCAGTTACTGTTTGTTTTCATCTCATTACAGTGACAGGAGCATGGCAACCCGGGAGGGAAGCTGGATAATAGTGGTGTTTTTGCTTCTTCTTTTTCTTCCCCCTAATGGACCAGGTTGCCTCTTCTCTTCTCTTTTGATCCCTGGTTTGAATGAATACAAAAGTTAACAGTCCTTTGTTGCCTCTCCCTCTGTCTCTCTCTCTTTATTATAGCATGCGGTTGTTTATGCTGCTTGTGTTTTGTGGTCACACTACATGTGATGTTGATTTTGTGGACTCCAGGAATGCCCAGATGGATACTACATCAGCACAAATAATTTATTATGAGGCATGAGCTTACTGCGCATACTCAGCTGGCCCACAATGCATTGCATCTGGGCGAACAGGCGGCAACCTCTGGGTCTGAAAAAAAAAGGAGGAAGTGTGTTAAACATTGTGTGTAATGACATATGGTTTGAAATAAGAAATGACAATTGAATATATAATAATGTATAAGGAAATATACATTTCCTCTAGTTTAATGTTTTGCACATTTCAATTCAACAGCTAATCTGCATTTCTAACAAGCGCAGATTAGCAGATTTACATACACATATTCACTTTTGTAATTTATGGATTTTATTTTACATTTGGTGGGTGCGGCTCAGAATGGACTTGATTCAGCAGATCAGCATGTTTGTTTCAACATGAATAACGCTGAGAAGCAGATAAGTAAAATGACCACTATCTAATAAAAGACGATTCACTGTCAACGGATATTACCATTTTTCTTCATTCATTCTTATTCTTCATTGTGAGATATCGTCATTAAATAATTAACTTCCACTCCTTTTTTTCGCCTCCTAATGGTCCTTCCTCGTCTGTCTTTGTTCACTCAGGTATTCTGTTTGAAGCTATATGAACTTGCCGACTGTGACGGACGTTTTCACCGTGCAGCAGAAACAAGCGAGATTCTTTTTGATATCACAGCATAAACAGGTGTGCAGGCGACGCCCCCCCCCCCTTTCCGAAACTTTAATCAGTCTTCCTTTGTTGCGAGGCGCTGCGCCTTGTTGACGGAGCTGTTTGGAGTCCAACCCGCATGACGCCTCCACGAGGGACCCGCCAAGTTGCCGCTGGAGCTGGAAGAAGCAACCTGCAGCTTTTTACTGATATTGGCCGTTTTGGCGGGAAAAGTCGCGCCCGAGGTTAAGTTCCGACTTGCCGGCGCGAACTGCTTCGGGATTGTTTTGACACGCATGAGAACCTGGGCACACGTCTCCAGGAGACCTGAAAATATTCCGTGATGGAAAATATTCCACTCTTTTGATGTCTTAGCCAGCGCAGGTTTTCATCTGAAGTAAATTTATTGTGGCGTTAACATCTCTCTTTTCATTGCCTTTCGTTGGGTTTGTTTTTCCGAGGTTTGCGGTTCTGGATTACAAACCAAAAACAAGTTTTCCTCTTGTTTGTGATAATCTGTTTGCCGGGTTGCCAGGCCGATATGTACTTTGCAGACTCTTGGTGGTATTACACAGTAAATGGATTTAAACCCGCACACACTTCGATGAATAGCACAAGCAAATTGCTCAATGCATCACTTTTTTCTGCCTTTTTTCTTCTTTTTTTTAAGTAAAATCGTCAAACACCAATTTGTATGATATCTTGCAAAAAAGTGACTTCTCATATTTTTTATATATGTATATATATATTTTATATTTTTTGTACCGTTTTCCAAAGTCCACCAACATTTGTCTTTTCAAAGTAAATTTACATTTATATGTATACGTAAAAAACGGAGATTCTCAGTTACGTTAAGGAAACATCTTGGTGTTCCACAGAGGTTAAGTGACACACTATTTTGACATTTCGTCTACAACTTAAAGTAAACGCTGTCTGAGAACAGCCTGATCCATTGACGGCAACGTCGGTCCGTCAGTCTGGCATTTGAAATATAACAATTTCATCAACTGACCGGATGGGTTGCCATCAAATTTATTTCCGACGCTCTGATGATGTAGACGTTTGTGGCTTTCAGTCATTATTCTGATCATGGCGTTAGATTTTAGTTTAAAGTACAGCTGTGCCTAAAAGTCTGTGCTCACCTTGTTTCTTCACTAATTAAATTTCTCTGTTCACTCATAAATCCCCCCTTCCTCCGTCAGCCCTGTTCGCCTCCTAACGCCGCGTCACATTGCTCATCCCCTCTCTCACTCCTTTAGCCATAACTCATCGCTGCTCACGCTCTCTCTCCCTGTACCTGTCTCCTCCATCTTTCTCTGTGTTTTTTCTTCCAGTCCTTCTCTCGATTGTGACATTCACGTTTCGGGCCTCAACTGCGTCCTCGCTGTTCTTCGTCATCCTCTATTGGTCCATTCATCACGTAGCCAGGCTGCTATTGGCTCCTTCGTCACCCAGCCGGCACACAGCAACGACCAGCACGCGGGCCCAGGAATGCATCAGATTTGGTCCCTGCTGTTGCACGCCGCTTAAAATTGTCCATATATATATATATATAATAAATAATAATATAATAATATAATAAAACTATGTATTTCCCTGAAGTCAACATGAATGTGAGTGTAACACTGGGTGGTGTGAATGTATCTGTATTTATAGCATGACTGCCAAAAATACTGGTGATTGGCTGCCAGGCATCTGTTTTACTCATATCACAGAGCACCTCAAACCTTTGCGCTGCCTCCGAATCCAACTAGTAACATCGCATTTCTTACATGAGAATTGAATACACAATAAGCTGAGGTCAAGTGCTCTAAACCTGGATAGTAGGTGTCATAATAGGTGTCAGTGTATCCCAAAAAAGCTGTTTGAAATTGAATATTACAATACAGTAATGCAGGAGACATGTAAATAATAAATAACAATGCAATCATTTTTTTTGTAAAGATTCTCTTGTAAAATAACATGAAATCCCAAACACACACACACACACACACACACACATTACTATGACATGGATGGAAAAGCAGACTCCTGAATGAGAACATGAAACCATTAGAGGAGGTGAACAGGATTCCCCAAAATCAACAACCGGACCCAGTTGCACATGTTATAAACATAAGGACATGGATGTAAACTATATCCTCATATCTCCAGGTGATATTAATTAAGGCCCAAACATTTTTTTGCATCTATTAACACCGCCGCTCTCGGCGGACGGCGCTTTTCTCGAGTCTCTGACAAACCGGCTCATTTGCCAGCCGCTGTCCTCTCCTCGTCCTCGCGAGCTAAACCCTCGGGCCCCCCAGAGAGACACGAACGGAGTGCGCACACAGAAATATGAGCCCACTCTGGAAACCGGGCTTCACATCATCACCACGTAAACGTTTCTAACCTCCGCGTGACCCAATGTTGAGGATTTCTATTACATTCATTCGATGGAAGCCAGTCGTCCCTGAAAGTTGCCTCAATGCTTCAACTCCCGGGTTTATTAAACCTTTTCGTGACCAATTAGATTCTTTTCCAATGTGTGGATGTGAAGCTAAAACACTATCCTCTGCACGCAGCCTTTTTCGACCCCAAGCGATATATTTTTGTGAATACCGAACACTGAAATATTAATATTTATACAGTTTCACAGCTGAGGGTCCTGGGCCAACGACCACAAGGGCCTCCTTCAGTGCCGCGCGCCGTCCTGCAGACGCAGCACCTGTCGCCGTGCGCGAAGCGCGCAGCAGGAAAGACATGTGGTGCTCGTACGCATTCCTTCCGCTCTGCTCATGAATCACTCGGCTTCTGCCGCCACCGACCCCGGGTCCTGGGAGAGAGATGAGGAGAGATGGGAGGGCGAAGAGGAGACGTGTAGGAGGCTGAAGTATTT